AGAATCATCCATTCCAAGGATAACAGTCCGCTGTTTTGAAATATTTTCTTATGAGGAGAATTGCATTGTCAGTAAGAAAATAATTTGCCTGACTTTTACAGTACATTTATTAACAGGCTGTGTGACATCAAAGTGGACTTTGGATGCAGTTTATAGAGATCATCAAGCACTTCGTTTACATTGAACCTATGGATGGATATTTGCATTAAATGGTGTTTATATACATTTAGACTTGTTGCACAGAAGCCTTTAGCAGAAATAAACAATCTGAACAATTTCTTACATCAAAAAAATATCACTAACAAACGAAAACCCCCACAAACAGCAGACTACCTCTAGTATTTTTTTCGTACTTCGTGTTAGTTCATGATTTTCATTATGAAACGGGTAGACTTACCTTACATGCAGACTCACATGTGTTTGTGTGTGCGCTTGTGTGTGTGTAAATGCATATGTATGACCTTTTGTGTGTATGCATGTAAGTTGTTTACCTATTTTGTATGTTTTTAAAGGAGAAAAATGCCAACATATTTACTTTACTTTGTAAAATCTTCCTATTCTTCTGTAGTATTTTTATTTTAGATATTTTTAAGTGGAAAAAGTAAATCTACCGTGTGATCTAAAATTAAATTATAATGCTGTCACACATGCTATTCATAAGAAATGAAGAACATTCTTCACCTCCTTTCCTTGTATTAAATGGCAAGAGCTGATACTTTATGCTGCATGTGGTTATCACCAGTCAAATGTTAGTCTTTGAAGTATGTTGGAGGTGTTTGACCAATCATAGTGGCTTTTAGGAATAGGTGTGCTCAGTCTGTGGCTCTAAATAGGCTGTTCACACTGATTTTTATCCATGTATAGTTGTATCTGCCTGCTGGAAACTTAATGCACGAGCGACGGTAATTATAAATTGAGCTAATCAGGTGTAACTCAAAATCAGTGTAATAATTTTATTCATATTTTTTACTGTTTAACAAGCTGCTGTTGAAGTAATATCTGCTATAAGGTGTCACATATTTTACAAAAACAATGGCTAGTCAAAGTCACAGTTTCTGTAGAAAGAACAAGTCTTTATGGCATGTGGAATTTCTGAGTTTCACACTGTGGAGGAATTGTGACTTACCATACCACAGCAGAGTAAAAAGTCCCTAACAAACTGATTAGTTTACAAGTAATATTATAATATATAGAAATTATTTTCCACTAGGTATAGGTGATGGTTCCACAACTACAGGCTATTTAAACATGGCAGTTCTATGGCTATGTACACAGAGTCCAATAGCAGTACACTGAGATTAGTTAACCATATCATCAAGTTACTACTGGTTAACCCTAGAAGCCATTTAATATTTTTAAGAACATTTATTAACATGGTTCAAACAGTTAACAACATTTCATTAGACCAAGAGGTACTATTCCTGATTTGTATTGTATCGGAATGCCATTTTTCAGAAACCCAAAAAACCTCATTAGAATATATGACAATAGAATATATGACACTTGTAATAATTATGGGTTCCCATATTCAATTGTTTAAGTCATTCTTACATTATGCATATGGGTGTTCCTTCTCTCTCAGCCACTTAAGGTGGAACTTCACCCCACCTGAAAGCAATCTCCAGTTTGTACATTCACACTGCTTTTCTGTATAATGGGGGTCTCCAAACTTTTCAATATGAGGGCCACATTGTATAATTTACAAATACTCATGGGCCGAACAATAATCAGTTTTATACATGAATAAAATTTAATTGATTATATGTTTTGCTTGGAGTTTTTTTAATTAGCAAGATATGATTCAGAACAGCAGAGAAAAAACTTAAAGTGGAGCTCCACCCAAAAAGGGGAAGTTCCACTTTAAGTCTTTGTTCCCCACTCCCCATTGATGATTGGCATCTTTGGGGAGCGGATACCCAAATTTGACAGGTATCCGCTCTCACTTCCACTGCGATCGCCTGTCACAGCCAGGTGCCCACACTGAAGATGCTGGCTCCATGGAGAGAAGATGGTCGGTGAAACCAGCCATGGTGAAGACACCGCTGGACCGAGGGACAGGTAAGTGTCTGTATTTTAAAAGTCAGCAGCTAGTTTTTTTTTGTAGCTGCTGACTTTTTTTTCCTTTTTTTTTTTTTTCAGGTGGAACTTTGCTTTAAGTAAAACAAAGCAAAGAAATTCCAAATAAACTTGAGCCCATAAGAAACCTACTTGTTTGTCCCCATCAGAGTACACCTTTACACACACAGTATGGCTGTAATTCTATGATTGCTGGGGAAAGCATGTGATTTGTTTTTGGGACACCCGCAGTCCTGTAACCAACAACGGTAAAATGACAGAAAAGCTGGGGTAACCTGTGCTGGAGACCCAGGAGGTATGGGGGGGGGGGGGAGAGAGGTGTAGAAGCTGGGGAGAAACAGAGACCATTGGCTGACCTGAAGACCTGTGAGAGGCCACTGACCCTAGCTGTGGGCCACATAACATTTTGCAATGGGCTGTACTTTGCCAATAGGCTACAGTTTGGAGACCCCTGCTATATAATCTAGAATATATCCTCTGCATTGTGTGACCACCAGTGGCTCAAGAGAGATGAGGAGAGTTCCCTCTTTCTTTGTAGTTAATCAGGAACAGTTTGGAGACCTAGTTACAGCTGTTCTGAACCTGTAATGGGACAGCACTGAGGAAGGTGGCAGTTACTGGGAAAAATGGGCAGTATAAGACATTTGTCAGTACCACCTGTGAAAAGCTGTTGCTTGAAAAAGGAGTTTCAACATCCCTTATAAAATTTAAACCAATTGTGACTGTTAAATTCAGAATCCAAAGGATGCTTCTGGGACTCTTGATTAAAGTTTGTACCCATTCAAATGTAGAAGGGCTGAGGAAAATGCAGTCTAATAAGAACACTCCATTGCTTTTTTTAATCTGGTTATGGTGGAAGCTCAGCCAACAGGCCTAAGTTGCATATCTGAAAGCTAGGCCATGGCAGCCAATGAGAGAGTAGGACACTGCAATGTAAATTAATATAAGCAATTGGCTGTTTACAGTGCACTCATATGGTTTGCACTATTATTTACAAATTGCAAACGACACGTAATTTCTTCAAAATACATTATTCTTTATATAACTTTTTTTCCAGCTAAAAAAAGGCAACACCTCAATGCATTTCCCATTTTTTTTTCTCCTGAGTTGTGCTTTTTTAAACAAAATTATTATTTTTTTTAAAGTTGGCAAGTATATAGTATAAATATATATAAATTTTTATTATAGTATATTATCTATACACTCAGGTACATTTTTGTTGCATTAAAACATCTGTGGTTTGATTATTTGTAGCATTCTGTTTTCTATCTCTTTTAAGTATTATTCTAATTATTTTATTTCAGAGAATGTCTATGTATTGTAATAGAATCTTGTGTTAAAGCCTTGCTGTTTTTCTGGGCGTATTCCCATTTTAGGAAGAAAAACTGAATTTTGAAGGAGTGTATTTAATTTTTAATCGTATGTTCAGCATAATAAAAATAATAGCCAGATATCAGGGTAGTCCTTGTTACACAAGTTATCGGCATACACACACGGAATAGCTCAATGTGAATTTTGTAGACAGAAGCAGTGGACTTTATCAAAGTGACTTAAATAAGCACTGTATGTGTTGTACCTAATCATAGTCTGCCTTTCTAGTTTTAAACCTGGAAAAGTGAATGCTAGTTGATTAGTGTAAGGCAACATAGACAGTTCTTCTGTTAGACACTTTGATATGTAACTTCCAGTCTTCTTGGGAAGACAGCTTTAAAATGGCTTACTAGTGAGTGCAAATGATCATATCCAAAGGCTGCCCAATTTCTTCAAGTTAGGCAGGATCAATAAATGATTGCGGATGTCTCTAGACCTTTGCTGGAACTCTTAACTAGTGAATTTCAGACTCCTTGGCTGGAAATTATTTTTTTATTGTAAGCTGCTGTTACCTCAAGATAAGCACAACTTTAAAGGTGCCTTCCCAGCGCTGTTTGACGTCTATTGCCAGTCTATAAAACAACGAGAAAGTATTGAGGAATATGACGTATGTCCTATGTCTTTTTAACTTTAACATGTACTCAAACCCTTACATAAACTGTCTAAAGGCGCTTAGATTGTGCACAGCAACAAATCAGAGTTTACCCTTTTATCTTCTAAACTTTTCTAGAAGCATGAAAGGGAGAATCTAATTGTTAGCTTTGTTGAAACTGACATTTTCATTTCACAATTTTGTACATGCAAGTAATTTTGTTTAATTATTGCAAACAGAACTACTTGTGCCATCCTCTGTAAATGCCTAAGGCGAGGGATTACCCAATCAGTGGGTCCAACCAGGGAATGGTTTTGTTTTGAAGGACAAAGTAATATATAAGTGTAGTACATGAATGAGAATATTAAAAAAAACATGTAACTGTGCCAGTTTGTAGAAACCAAAGGGCTGATCTTGGCTAACATATCTGTAGCTGCAGAAAGGAAATAGAAGGTAGGCATGCTAATTGAAGGGGATATTACAGCTAGAATATCAAATACTGAGAAATGAGGGACCACAGATCTAACTATGTAAAAAAAAAGAACGAGATGAATCTGATGATTCTTGTATGAGTTTGATAACTGTTGAGGGACCATAGTTTGGCACTGAATGCTGGTATAGCAGTGTAATAGGTGGGTTGAACAAAGTAGATAGAGAACTTGTATAGCAGTGCATGGTAGAAAACTATATGTGCTAAGTGGAATAGTTTGAATGATTTTAATATCAGAAAGGGTGCTGCATGATCACAGGAAGGTTACAATCTAGAAGAAGGGAAGATCCACAGCCTTGTATGATGTGGAAGAATATACTGGACACCGTCTGTCATATCAGTATGAATGGGACAAAGAGGTCACAAACTGGCAATATAAGATGACTGGGCTAAAAAGGGTATTGAGGGCACAATAACTGCTACACAAATGGGTACTTAGGTTTGCACTTGAGAACGTTGTTGCATTCGGGG